ACCTTCCTGGTAAGAATTGGTGTCTTAACTCTCACTATCTGTCCCAGTTTAGCAACACTTGGTCTTAACAGTAAAATTTAAACAGATGGGATTTGCGTACGAGTTTATGAAGATCGAATGGATCTCTTGAGGGCAGTTATAGTTGGGGCTTATGGGACTCCTTACCAAGACGGCCTCTTCTTTTTTGATTTTCACCTCCCTCCAGAGTACCCTGATGTTCCTCCGGTTAGAACTACTATCTAATTTTTCTTAATCTTTGGTTAAGCTATAATTTATTTTTATCATTTAATTAGCCAATTTGTAACATTCTCTTTGGATTTGATGCAAAGAAAAGGTCATTTCCTCTGGTTCTCTGAATAAATTTGTGATGTTACAGACAGCATACTATCATTCTGGTGGCTGGCGGATAAATCCAAATCTATATGAAGAAGGCAAGGTGTGCCTTAGTCTTTTAAATACTTGGACTGGCAGAGGAAATGAAGTATGGGATCCAAAGTCTTCTAGCATCCTTCAAGTGCTTGTTTCACTCCAGGGGTTGGTGCTAAATTCTAAGCCATATTTTAATGAAGCTGGCTATGACAAGCAGATTGGGACCGCCGAAGGAGAGAAAAATTCATTGTCCTACAATGAGAATACTTTCTTACTGAACTGCAAGACAATGATGTATCTTATGCGGAGGCCACCGAAGGTGATGTTTCATATTTCAAATATTCAATTTTCCATTATAAGATTCTATTCTCTTTATGTGTGTCATATATATAGTTTTCCGTTATCTTTGTTTCATTAAATTTTTCTTGGTGATAAGGATCCCATCCTCAGGTGGTCCCATATTAGTTGGATTTTACTCAATCGGTTCATAGAATTTTCTATGTTGTGTCTGATCATATACATCCTACCCAGTTGTAGCTTTGGCTATGGCTCTGGGTCCCAGTCACCTATGTTGTGTCTGAAGTTTATATGCCTGCCATGGCATCATGTTAAGTATATCATGTAAAATATTACCACCAAACTATATCATGTATAATTTATCAACAAACTATATCATGTAAATATTGAGCTTATTTGATGTTTGTTAATACTTGCTTGTTAAATACTTGGGGACCACTCTTCATGTTCTTCTTGTGCTGACTTTCAGTAAAGGCTGGATCCATTTTTTAGCAGTATTATTCACATTTCAATGTCATGTACAGGACTTTGAAGTGCTTGTCAAAGACCATTTCAGGAGGCAGGGTTATTATATCTTGAAGGCCTGTGATGCATATATGAAAGGGAATTTGATTGGCTCTCTCACTAAAGACGCCTCTGCTGTTAAGAGCGATGTAAATTCGACCTCAGTTGGTTTCAAGTTGATGTTAGCTAAGATTGTGCCAAAGCTCTTCTTGGCTTTGAGTGAGGTTGGAGCAACTTGTCATGAATTTATGCATCTGCAACAATCATAGCATAGGTTTGAAGATGCAATTTGCCTCTGGATCCATCAAGCCAACAATGTCAATCTGTTTTGATTCATTGTTGTTTCCTAAACAATTGAGATACTTGTCAATGTAAAGGGTTTTCACATTCTATTAGATTTCAAATTTTTTTTTCCTTAACTCTCAATAGAAATTGAAAGCCTTGCCCATTTTAGGCTGTGGAGGTTTGTTAGAGCAAAGTTGCTGGCTGGCACTCTCGTTTTTGGGTAAACGATAATTTTCTACTAGCAGCAAAATTGGCTGCTAGCCTTTGTTGACATAACTTTTGGTAGGTTTTTGTACGGGGATTTCTGCGATTGCAAAAGCTTTACCTTTTGTTTGCTCATTTGTTCAGGATTTCAATGGATTGAATTGAATTTAAAAAAATAAATGGCTTCAAATAATTATATATCAGATTTACCATGTGAAATGGCTTCTCATACTCCAATTCCACTTGTTTATTTGTTTTGAGTCATTACAGAAAAACCAAAATACATCTTCTCTTCTGGGCATCACCAGCTCTGTGTTCTATTCAATATTTTTATTCAATTGATCAAGAATTTTGAACAAACTTTTTTTAAAGAATGCTTTCTTAGTCCACGCAGAAATCAAACTTTTTGATGACCTTTTTTGGAGGGGCGAAAGTATACTAAACTCACACACACTGCATAAATGTTAGGACTATAACTCAGGACCTTTCTTGAGGGAGCAATTGCTCCAAATCACTATACTAGTGGGTCCGCAAAGGAAAGGGAACTCGAAAGGTGCTTTTCCACTTTACAATAGGACATGTCTATCATGTAGCCTTTACCAGTTCCATAATTGTAATCATAAACCAGACAATTTGCCCATTGTCCATTTAGTAACTTTACCAAATAGACGTCGAGCCTTGTAGCATGAACTTGTAATTATGTATGACATTAAAGTGATTGGTTATCTATACTGTTGTATTAGAGCGGCTTCCAGTACGGTGTGTACCCAATGTGCAGCAAAGTTTGAGTATTTGAATGTGTAACACGTACATTATTAATAAGAACAAAATAAGTTTAATATCACACATCCAAATCTAGTATAAAAAATAATAATAGTGGGATTGGAGAACCCATTGATTGACAAAAATAATAATAGCAATAACATAATTCTCCTCTCACTGGTTTGGAACAGGTGCATTGTTCCCCTGCAATGCTTAAACTGAATCTACTTTTGCTACTCTGTGCAAACCGGAGGATTCCACGTGTTGTCGTCATCGATAATTACTAAAACTTTCACGGCTGTTATGGTCCCAGTGCTCCTTCTCCTGATATGCCACAAGAAAGATAGAAGAGTTTCATGCTAAAGCACCCCAGCAAGCAAGATTACATCTGCATTGCTATATGCTAATTGCAAGGTTAGGTTTTGTGGTTTCAGATTTTAACGATAGTAAAGGCCTTTGTGCGAGAGCAATAGCTTGCACAAACATTGAGTTATCAAAGCAAGTGAAATTTACACACGGGAAATGTATCATCTTCAAGTTTTATGCAGTACAAGGATGTAGTTGTGAAATTTCGATTTCATGAACTTCTAAGAATTTCCCTAAAATCAAGTGACAACAAGATGAACACCGATACTATTACAAATTCCATCACGTCAGAGATGATGTCTTCTAGAAATAAGCATCCATGCCCAACCAAATCATCTTCATCTTCTAACTCAAAGTTTCTATGTGTTTTTATATACCCCTGATTACAGACTTTCTGATGCTAATAAAATCTTTTGAACCCTCAAGGATTCAGATAAACTAGATTATCAGCATCTGAAATTCAGCATTAGCTAGCTAAAAAGATTATGGATGCAATACTATGCAACTTTCAACAGAGATAAATAACTTAACATTGAGATGCTACACCAATTGATCCTCTAACTGATTTACCACTCTTAAACACTACGCAGTTCAATATTAACAATCATAACTTATTCATCTCCATTTGGATCTACAAGAAGAGAGAGGAAAATAAAATTTGGTCCTACTACTCATGTTCTTTGTTTTCCCCAAGAAGTTAAACTTTGAACTAACCAGACAATATCATTCATGAAAAAGTAGAATGCAATACTTCGTCTTAAACTTCAAAGAGTTCATCTAATACCCGGATTTTTTCAGCAACAAAACCCAAATCATGTTCTCAGCAAAAGTTGTTCACCCAATTCTAAAACAATTAAACATTCTTGATTTCGTCCAAAAAAACATTATTGATCAAGCTCTCACCTTTTCAAAATATTGCTTTTAATTTAGTCCATTCTAATCAAAGTATATTACAACCAGTTGCTCAACTTCAATTATCATCCAAATTCCCTATTCATAACATTGCTAAAGCAAAAATCCACCATCAAATTCAACCCATGAATCTAAGTTGAAAAAATACAAATACGATGTAGCTGAACAGCATTCACTAGCCATTTTCTATGTTTATTTTCATCCCAATAAACATCACGGGAACTGAAAAAAAAAACACTAAGGATAAACAAGTACCAGCAAAAGATGTTCACAGACCACCGGTCTTGATGAACCTTCTCCGAGCCAAAAACCTCGACAACGGAGGTGTAAGCGCCAGAGTAATCGGAACCCGAAGGGGAAACAGAGCCTTGTTACAGAGCACAGCCAATGCCAGTGCCCCACCAGTTGAAGCCGCGAGCTCAGCCGTCCGATTCCTCTTCTTTTCCTCAATCACAACCGTTGAAGGGCCAATTTCGGAGGTGGGTCTGTCGCGAAAGACCGACCCATCAGAGATTTCGGGTGGGTTTTGGGCGCTTTCGTCTTTGGAGGAGACGCTTCCCATGTGAAGCTTGTCGAGCAGCAACTCCACGTCGAGGTTGTTGTTGATGGCTACGTAGAGACCTGTAATTGAGGCAGCTGAGACTGAGAAATGGACCCCAAGTGCCACCTTGCCGTACTTCTTCAGGAGCTCTTTGAATCGGCCAGCACTGAGGATGGAAGCCATGGATGGACAAAAAAGAGTTGAGATTTTGGGGAGTCGGTCAGGTTTTTTTGAGAGAATGCTAGGGTTTTTGTGGACTTTAAGGTAAACTGTGGTACTGGGTTTCTTATAATTTGTTAGTTTGATCCTTCTTTTCGGACAAGAAACATGAATAACTTGGATATGGGGTCAAAGACTCGGCCATTCAAGTGGTTATTGGAGCTCCAAGTGGTTGCTCTTGGGCCTCATTCTACCTTGGTTCTTTTTTTCTATTTTGGGCCATAATTGGTTAAGGACTACAAGTGGAAAGCCCATGATTGAAGATTGAAGCTTCAATTATATATATTTTTTTTGTACAAATTGAAACAATTTGATTGATGAATATTGTTTGTGTATGTGTTTGTTTTTCATCATTAGAGTGGGTGTGAAATTCACTGTTTATAGTGAGTTTCACATTTTTTATGTGTGCAAGTTCGACACACTGCATTGAACGCACATAAAATTATAATATAACTGTAGACCATGACTAAAATTGATGACTAGTATTATATCGAAAACTAAAGAATTTAATCCAATAGTCGCCACTTCTAACAATGGGCGGGATAACATATTTTTATAAGTCCGGTTGCTACTACAAATACTTCTTCAAACTGAAATTGCATTAAATGTTGATTCGAACTGAATTTTAAGATATGTAGAATATGTCTGCAAGCTTCTACCAAAGTGAACAAATAAACAAATAAAGTACTCAAACTAGTGCTTTTTTCCATATAAAACACTGATGCTTCATGTTTCATTAGGAAGATGGTGCAAGTGGAAGGAATTAAAATGGCGGTTGTGGAGGTGTAGGTGGTGGTCATGATCATGGTCATGGTTGTCGAAGCCGACGCCATTCTCTTCAGCTTTAGCTATCTCACTATGCCATCTTGATGGGTTCCTTGTTAGCTCTAGCAAGGAGTCCCTCACATCATCAGCTTCAACCATCTCACTATCCTTTCTCTGTTAACCAACAAATAAATAGAGATCATTTTATATAAGATTGCTTCCTTCTTTTTTTATATGGAAGATGTTACAAAGCTCACTTTTCTCTCAAATGCTTTTTTCAACTCTCTCACACGGTAGGTTGACCTACATGAGTCTCACAATATCACGAGTCTCATATTTTGTGAGGAAACTTTTTGTTTACAACGAGTGTATACAACATAGCGTTCATACGCTTACACGTTGATTATGTGACAAATGATTGTAAGAGGAGCAAATGATTGTGTGAAAGAGTTGGAAAAAAAGTTGGGTTTTATAAGCCTTCCTTTTATGTACATGTTGAATATGTATTTTCTTAGGCCAGATTATGCTAGAAGAAACTAACCTCTACGACGAAAACATTGGACACGAGGCATCTGAAGCTAGTCACATTGGCATTAGTAACTTCCAGGCTTAGAGAGCTCAAAGCCTCCATCAATCTCACAAATCCACCAGGCTTGTGCTCACAGAACACTTTAACAAAGAACTGATTTCCATCTAATTGAGCCACTTCCACTTGGGGCTACAGCATTTTCCCAATTTCTTTGATTATTAGCCAAGAAAGAAATGAAACCCAAAAGAAAAAAAAAACAAACAAAAAAGAAAGAAAAAAGATACTTAAAGAGAGAAGAACACAAGATTTATCATATATACCTCCATCTGTTGTGTCTTGTGGTCATGGATAACATCTGAATCTTGGCTTTGTTTGGAGACACTATCGTGTTGATGATCAGTTTTAGGCCCCCCAGGGTCAAGTCCACTTTGAATCTCTGATTGTGTATTGTTGTGGTGGCCAGTGATGCCAGAGTTCTTTGGACCTTCATCCTCTGCATGATCATCAAGCTCATCTTGAAGTTGTTTAGCTTGCTTCTGCAACTCCTGCACATACTCGATTGCATCCCCAAGAATGGAAGCCCTGTCCAACTGTGAATTAAAATGAGTTGGCATTAGAAATAATTCAGATTGCACTTTTCTAATAACATCAAATGCCAGTTCACAAGTGTTGAGATTGCTAATGAGCTTTTTTATTCTTTTCTTGTATCGTTTATAAAGCCCAAATTGATCGAATACATAAGCGATGTGAGACATGTTTGCATAACCTAAACACAAATGGAATGAGGTATCAGAAGAAAAGGAGTGAGAAGATGTAATGGTTACCTTGGAAATATTGGGAACCAAAGCTCTAAGAGCAAAAAGTCTTTCATTAAGCTTCTTCCTTCTCTTTCTCTCAGCAACAAGGTTTTTGGCTTGAGGCCCTTTCCCTGCCCTCCTTCTCTGGTATTTTGCATCATCCTCATCATCATCAATCTGATCACTGCAATCCGACAGTCCATCTGCAGCTGGTCCTTCGTCATGTATAATTGAGTCCTGCTTATCGTTGCCGTCCTGCAGATCCATGTCAGGTGCTAATGCCTCCATGTATTGCATATGCATGTGTTGTTGTGTCTCATCAGCCATCATGGACCTTTGCATTGCCTCCATCTCTTGAAACCCGTTTTCTGCTGAGCAAATAAATGGGTCCATTTGTTTATCTGAAAGAAATGGTTCATGTGATGAATGTCCATAAGAAACATCAATACTATTCTTGGTTCTGTTTCCCAAGTTGTAATTAGTAAATTGCTGCAAGAAGTTGATTGGAGAATTGCTTATTGTACCCATGGAGACATCATATGGTAGGTTCAGATTATCTAACTTTGAACAAATTCTAGAGGAAAGGGGTGGCTGGAAATGAACATTGTTGATATCCATTTGATCATTTCCATTATCTAAGAGGTTCTTTGATTCGATTTCACTCATTATACTCGTACCGGTTATGTTATCGAGGGTGTCCTGCACCATTGCGATGCTGTATTGGGCTGTGATAAAATCAATAACATGCTGATCTTCAAATACCTGCAGTCACAGAAAACAGAACAATTAATACATTCTCAATGTGATAGTTTTATTACCATGCAAGTAGAACATTTCTTTCAGATAATGAAGGAAAAGGCTGTACTTTATTGCTCATACAAAATGTGCATGCTTGTGGTAAAGATAGACAAATGAGAATTAAAGAGCAATGGAAACATTACTTGTTTGGTAACAAGCAGCTCAATTAATCCTCCTGGTATTGGAATCAAAACCTTGGTACCAACTGTTTCCTGCAATTGTAAATTGGAAAACTATGAGCTCAATACTAAAATTGCTTTCTCTTTCGGAAATAGGAGAAAGAAGCTGAGTGGTACTTGCCTCTAGAGTACTTAAACATGTGTTATTAGAGAAGTTCAACCAACTGGGTTGGTTTGATATCAAGGTCTCTGCATAAATCCTGTTCATAATCATGAGCTCTCATGGTTAACTAATTTAGATATATCAGAGAAAGTATCTCACCAGATTTTTCAACTGAGCTCAATATGAAAAGGGCATGTTATATTGCTAGATTGTCAATTCAGATCATACACATTTAAACAAGATTCTTTCTTATCGATAGTTCGGATTGACAGTTCCATAACATATATAACACGTCACAACGTCTAGCAACATAGTATGCCAGACCGTCTCGAAAGAGAAAATTTCTTATATATATATATATATATATATGAAAGAAATTAGGGATAAAGTAGAGAAAGGATAACCATGCAAATAGGTACATACCCGGAGTCTAGGGGTAGAGAAGAAGGCATTTTGGCAAGAAGATCACAAGCTGTGGTTCTTGGATGCTGTAACATGGTATCCCTACAAGGAAGGACTGGAGGGAAAAGAAGATCTTGTCCAGCATCATATTGGGTGATTTCAATCCCTGAACAGCAACAATCCATCCACTCAATGAACCTAAAAATTAAACAAACCCCAAAGTCACACACATATATATTTGTGACAGGAAGAAATTGACAGATTAATGCAGTTAACTATAGTTTCTTAAACCTTTGGTCTTCACTCAGTTTCCAGATAACACAAAAGTCCCAGCCTTTCAAACCCACAAGGGATCTAAGTCTCTGTATGAGGCTTGGCATTATCATCATGATGTTCATTCCACCTACAAGGTTTGATTTTAAAACATTTATAAATATAAATAAATAAATAAATAAAAATCGAGCCGAAACGAGGAACAACTTAATTAAAATTCCAACAGTTAGCTAGAGTACTAGTAGCTAAGAAGAGAGAGAGAGAGAGAGAGACACCTGAAAGACGATGTTTTGAGGAGTGCTTGGTCTCTTGCTTGGTGCCTCTTTTGACTGAACAAATTAGCAAGAAAAACAAAACAAGGATGGAAGAAGAAACAAAAGCCAAGCAGCAGAAGAAACAAAGAGAGAGATCCATACAAACTTCAGTTGATAGCAATAGTTAACTGCTGCAACATCATCATATTCATATCCAAAAGCTAACCTAGATATAACACCCCATCTCAGCAAACTCACAACAAAACAAAAATTTCTATATCTGGTACATATATTTTTGGAGCTTGGAGTAAAATCAAGAAGAAAAACAATTGGGGCCTCCCTGCATTTCACGAAATGTATCTTTTTATATGGAGAGAACTTGGTAGGTGAACTGCAGTCCATGCATGAGTGTGAGATAGAGCTTATTAATTAATTCTTTTTTTTTGTTTTTGAAAAACACTTCCCTCCTTCTCTTCTCTGTAAGTAGGAACTCCTAACATTCCTATCAAGGAAAATTTGACATGTATGCAGAAGTTTTTCTTTTTGGGTTTTTGATAAATTATTTTTGCATATGTGTCAAACTGTGATATGCAGGAATGAGGAGTATCTTCTTTCCGGGAAGGAGGCAAGCAGTATCCTTATTTAATTATTATTATTATATTTTTAGTATTTAAGTTAATGATGGCAGGAGCATATTGCATGAGCTAATATAGCGTACAAAATGCTAACTAACTTTGCAAAAGTTTTTCATTCGTTTCGGTTTGGTATATGTATTTGCTCATGTTTCAACTACTCTAAGGCTTTAAACCAAAAACGGAAACCATGCATCAGCAATTCATCAAACAGGTGGTGAACAAAACGCGGGCTCTGCTGTCCCCCATTTACATGAAATGGCCAACAGTCCACAACAAAGCTAGCTACATATGAAATTGAAGCTAAGGCTTCCACAGAGAAAAACTCTTTTGAGACATCTTGACGTACAACAACAAATGGTACACATTTGGGCTTTGCCATGACATATCAGCTTTTTAGGCTAAATAATTTTGTACGCTAGGTCAAAAAATACCATTTTAAATGTTAAGGGTATTTTTGGAATTTTGTATTTTCATCTTTTGCTTCCAATCCAATTAGGCTTCTTATTAGACCATCTCTCTTGGAGATGTCAAATGCAAAATGTTAAATTTGAATGATGGCTCATGTGGCAATTTGACATTTCGGAAAAAATTTAACTCCACTATCATATTATTTTATTATATTTTTAAAAGCAAATGGGGCCCATATGATGCATAAAGTTTTAAAAGAGAGTAAATGATAACGAGGTTCATGATTAAAATAATATTTGACATCAAACTTTTTGATATGTTATTTTTGACATATCTCTTCTAGCCTTTAAATTCATGTAGGATTTGACTAATCGGTTGGAACAACTTTAACCTTCAATTTTTGTCATTTTCATGTCCATGTGGCAATTTGACATATCAGTTGGAGATGCTCCAAGTGATGCTAAATTTTGAACTAGTATTAAAAACAACGGTAGCTTTCCGGTTAGAGTTGTTATTCCCATTACTTTTCAATAAAACTTTGAGATTTTTCTCAAAAAAAAATTTTGGTGAATTTTAGACTATGTTTTAAAGCTATTGGTTCCAGCCCAGTGGTAAATGACCTTGATTTACTAATGTTCTCAAGTTCGAACCCTCATAACACATTGGTAGTGTGTGAGAAAACCACTGCTTCCTAACTTTGGCCCAAAAAAAAGCTATTGTTTAATTGTTTAATTGCTTTTGCTTATTATGTCGTGTCACATTAACTAACAATTAATCAAACACCATTAACTAACAATAATGTCACTCATCGGTAAACTCAAACGTAGAGTAGTGTTAGAGTAGTGTGTTTGTCCGTCACTTGCATTTGAGTTTGATCCTCCTTCCACATATTATTGTAGTTTAGACAAAGTAATAGTAACAAAATGAAGCATGTTTAGTACTGAAAACGACCATTCTACAGCTTAATTATAGGAAAAGTGAAAGAAACTGAATGTGCCTAATTAATTGATACATAACTAGTAGCTAGATTAAGCTCAATTAATAATTATAAAGATGTTGGAGGTGGTATGAAGAAGCATGGTAATTGTGGAGATGGTGTTGCTGGTAATGATGGTGATCATCATGATGAAAGTGATCCAATCCACTCCCATTTTCTGATGCTTTTGCTTTGGCCATCTCAGGCCACACTTTTGATGATGGGTTCCTTGTTATCTCCAGCAAAGAGTCCCTTACATCATCAGCTTGAACTACTTCACTGTCTTTCTTCTGCATAACCAGACATAATATAAGCTAATATTAAGGGAAATTTATATAAATACCATCTAAATTTTTAGGCAAGTGCACGATTTCCACCTACCTCTAATTCCGTTAAGTCAAGTCACAATCAAAATCAAAATCCTAATTAATCTTATTTGATAAGGTTAACTTATTATTACCTCAACTTTAAAGACATTGGAGACAAGGCTTCTGAAGCTGGTCACATTTGCATTGGTTACTTCCAAGCCTAAAGTATCCAATGCCTCCATCAATCTCACAAACCCTCCAGGCTTGTGCTCACAGAACACAGTCACAAAGAATTCATTGCCATCTAACTGAGTGACTCCCACTTGTGGCTGCAATTTGTTGTCCAAAAAATATATAATTTATTTTACATCCAAATATATAAGAATATAATAAGATTTTATATTAAGTCTATATATATACCTCCATCTGTTGTCCTCTGTCATTTGTACTATCTGAGTCCTGTTGCTGTTTTGAGATGTTGCCAATATCAACTGCTGTGCCCACATGAAATCCATTTGGAGGCTTATCATCATTTTCTGGCTTGTTAGTAATGCTTGTTCCATTTTGATTTAGAATCTCTGGTTGGAAATTGTTGTGGTTTCCACAGATATTGGCACTAGTTTTCTTATTAGGTCCTTCATCATTTGAATGCTGTTCAAGCTCATCTTGGAGTTCCTTTACTTGCCTCAGCAAGTCCTTCACGAAATCAATTGCGTCCCCGAGGATGGCAGCCTTGTCCATCTGAGAATCAACATGAGTAAGCATTAGATGCTGCTAAAGGGGGCATGTTTTTCTAATCACATTAGCTATGATCTCAACTATTAATCAACATATCAACTGCCACATGAGAAAATGTGGTTCATCTAGCATTACTTTTCTGTGTTACTTTCCTATTGAAAATGCTACTTTGAGAAAGAGCCAGGAAATTATACTAGGTTCTGAAGAGTTGGCAAAAATAAGGTCAATGATGATCATCACCTTAGAAATGTTGGGAACCAAAGACCGAAGGCGATACAGTCTTTCATTGAGCTTCTTCCTTCTCTTCCTCTCTGCAAAAAGGTTTTTGGATTGAGGCCCTTTCCCTGTTCTCCGCCTATATTTTGTGTCATCTTCATCATCAATTTGATCACTGCAATCTGAGCCTGAATTATCTGCAGTTCTTCCACCCTGGGCCTCATGTTTAACTGAATCTTGATCCTCAACACCCTGCTGCTCCATATTTTCCAATGCCTCCATAACATGCGTACTATTGTGCATGTTTGGTGCATCAGCATCAGCTTGAAGCCCCATCTCTCCCAAGGACTCATGTGAACGCTGCTCATAGTACACATTACTATTACCATTCTTCATGCTGTTCTCTGAGTTGTAAGTGACATGTTGCAGGAAATTCATTGGAGAAGAGCTGCGGAGGCGGATTCGATCAACTGATATGTCATATGGCACATTCGAATCATGATCCACTGAAGGGGAAACAACAGGTGGCTGCTGGAAATGATTACTGTTTAGATGATCATTTCCTTCATTCTCATTGCCTGGAAATGGCTGTGGTTGTATTTCAGTTCTCATGTCATTTATATTGACAGGGAAGCTTGTATTGCAGCCAGCACCAAGGATGTCTTGCTCCTTTGAAATGTTGCATTGGGCTGTAATATAATCAATCACTTGTTGGTCTTCAGAGACCTGTGAATTTGACAGTTACCAAAAACAAACTATTTGTGAGAGATGTGACCAAATTTATTTTTTTCAAATCTAACATAAGAAATTAAGGAAGGTTTGAGTGAAGCATCATAAAATATCATACATCTTTGGAGACAAACAGCTCAATCAACCCTCCTGCAATTGGAACCAAAACTCTGGTCCCATCTCTTTCCTACAAAATGTAAGTAGAAGTATATAGTTACATTTCATTATATGTTCAGAAAAATGACTTTCTTTTGGAAATAGCTAGGAAAATGGGAACTTGAGCTCACTGCCATGGCACTTGAATCTCTGTTAGAAGATGAGTTCAACCAAATGGGCTGGTTTGATATTAAGGGATGTGCATAAATCCTGCTCATGAGCAGCCATGGTTAATGATATAAAAACATTAATTAATTTCTTTTGTATGGTAATTAAAAGGATTTATAGTACCCAGAGTCTAAGGGCAGAGAAGAAGGAAGCTGGGCAAGAACATCACAGGAATTGGTTCTTGAGTGCTGCATTGTATCTCTGCATGGAAGGACTGGATAAACTGGGAAAAGAAGTTCTTGTCCTCCATTAGTCTGAGTGTTCTCATCAGCCCCAGAACAACAACAATCCATCAACTCAATAAACCTAAAAAAAATTAACCAATCTAAAAATTAGTCACAAAAAGAAAACATGAATTAGTAACAGTTAATTAAAAATTTCCTCTTAACCTTTGGTTTTCACTCAATTTCCAAATAACACAATAATCCCAGCCCTTCAAACCCACAAGGGGTCTAAGCCTCTCAGTCAAATATTGCATAATGATGATCATGCCTCCTGAAATAATTAACTGCAAAAGACCAGTGGAAGCATGGAATTAATTGCATATTCTTGTTGTGATATAATCTTTGCTAGAATCAGCTAGAATTTGTCAGAAAACCAAATTAAGATGACTATCAATAACTACAACAAATTGGTAATTCTTCACAATGCTCCAAGTTTTTTTTAAAATTTCTATTGACAGTTGTGTTATGTTGGTTGGAGGAGGTCTCAAGTTAAACTCATATGGAAGCGATGACAATATATATATTTGTGGTGAGTTCAATATCTAGTTGTAGCTCTCATTTTAGTGCACTAACAAGCACTCAACAGAGAACCAGACCTGTCAGGTGACAACAATGCTTCTTGCTTCCAAGATTATTGTGGCTGTCTCTTTTTACTGAACAAAGTAAGAAACTTTTTTGGTGAAAGAACAACAAACAAAAAAAAAAAAAAAAACCCAAAAGAAGGAGTAATCAATAGTTAACTACTGCTTACACCATCAGTCAAAATAAAGCTCACAGATATCTCCACCCATCTCATCCCTGAAAACCCATCTCAGCAAACTGAGAAGAAACAAAGCTCAATATTCTATTTTGAATTTTCCAGTGAGATGCCAAGAATGCAAAAAACAGTTGAACCCTGCGTCTCACAAATGTTCCTTTGTTTATATATATGTGTGTAAGGCTCTGGCTACCTTAAACCTTTGGTTGGTGAACTGCATCCCATGCATGAAGGAGAGAAATTTGTTTTTGTTAAAATGATATATATACATTTCAATAAAACAATGGCGAAGGGACCACATTTCTTAACCGCATAAGCTAAACCGTAAAAGTTAAATCATATTACGTGACATACGGAGTTCATTGTATATCAATTATTATGAACGATTGTATATAATACAAATACTTCATAATGTGATTAAATTAATGTAATCTTGCTAAAATTACTCCCTTTTTTTAATGTGTTTTTAGATAGTTAAAGGAGAAGAGATTTAAAAAGATTGTATGTGAGTTGGAAATGATGGATAAACGCAAATCGCATGACCTTAGAACCCTAACTACCTTACCTAGTTTTTTATTCGTTTTGGTTTCAGTTTCTTTCATGTTTCAACTACTCTACAACTTGGAAGTTGGAGCTGAAAACAAAAGCAATTAAAACATCAGCAATAATATTACCATGTGGTGCAAGACTTGTCCACCCATTTTGATTTAAGGGCCGGCTAACAGCCCCAGCTATATATAAGATATATGCATACACATTTTTATATGCATATACGCATGTTACATTATTACACTTTAATTTTTACAAATTAGCACACAAACTTTCAGAAGAAGAAGAAAAATCAAATTCGAAGCTAATAATTTAACTCAAAATTAAGGCCCCGTTCGGTAACGTTTTCGGAGAATATTTTCTAAGAATGAAAACGATAAAATAAATTTGCATTTTCATGATTGGATAACATATTTTAAAAATAAAAATAGTGAAAACGTGTCTAGTAGGACAATTTGAGAATACTAATATGTGAGTTTTTTTTTTTTTGCTTATTTCTGTCCTACAAAATATTTTTTTAAAAAAAATTATGATATTTTAAAAGCTAAAATTATTACAAACAATGAAAAATGTATAATTCGAGAATAATAATGTATAATAATATTAAAAAAATCAAATTTTAGAAAACCCTAGATAATAAAATTCTATTATCTTTAGTTTAAAATAAATATGAAATTGATAATATATGATGGTTTTATCATAAAATTAATATACCAAATGAAAATGATATTTGGTGTTTTCAGAAACCGAATTCCAGTGAAAATGAAAAAGACATACCAAATACGTTTTGGTATACGTTTTTAGTAGAAAATGAAAACGGGACCTTAAAAACGTTACCAAACAGCTTTGGAGAGAAAACTTTTAACAAACACTACGTACCCAGTTGCACCTTCCCACTAACAAAATAGATGCAATAGCTTAGGTAAAACGCCAACCTTCTTGGAAGTTAATGAGAGAATGGTAGCCCGTAATGGAGTCAACTGACCTCGATTATTGATTACGATGCAAACCAGATCTCTAACGTAATATAAATTTATATATTTAAATACTCTTGGAAGTTGGGGACTTCAATCTCTCAGCTGGCATGTTCAAATTCCTCCACCTGTGGTGTGGCTCATAGAATTTTGTTTGAAGCTTTACAATGTGGACTTCGCGTGGTTTTTGACTTTTTTATTTTATTTTATACAGAGGAGAAGATTGAATAAGGCTTTCATATCCGTGACAGAAAATGACTTACATCACGATATGACTAAAGTCGGCATATGATAATTCAAATTTTCATATTGATAAAATCTAATTTCCTCTCACGAGACCATCAGTATTAAACTAAACAAAGAAACCAACGGAAGTATCCATGAAGTCAATTTGGACCTTAATAGTTATTTCCCAACTAATTTATAGGCGGTCCATGTTCTACTTATTCTTCGTAGGGAGCTCCCTTATTCACACCTTTAAATGCAAGAGAAAAAATGCACTTTTTTTTAAATATCCACATGAGCCTGTCATTTCTAGAGAGTTTAGGGAAACAAGGGTGGCCAATTGATAATTATTGCGAATTAATCGAAGGAGCATGATGTAGACAACAATGAGCTTCTAGATTGGAGAGGCAGATGATGTATAGAAAGAAAAAACTTCTAAAATCGTGTAATTTATGGCATTTAAACTAAAATTCTCAAAATTGAATTATGATTATTCAAATTAAATTCAATGGGGGTGTTGCTATTTCCACCATCGGTCATATTTCCCCACCTATCTTATCTAGTATGTCAAATACAACTTGATCCTCTCCATTATCTGAATTACTAATAAAGCAAAGAAAATTTGCTTCAATTAATAATTAAATGGTATTTTAGGAATAATGGTGGATGGAAAGATAGGATTGTATTTTTTCAAATTTACATGGTGTGTGGGAAGATAAGTTGAGTGAAAAAATAGAACACGGGTGAAAATATCAGCACTCATTTAACGGTTAATGTCAATCTATTGAAGTGGGGATTTCTAACTTTAATAATAGAGATCTTATCCTTTTATATTCACACAATCAATTCTTCCCAACCCAAACGAACACGTAAAGTAGCTCATATCTTATGGCTTATGACTTTCTAGAAGTAATTTACACCTATGCTAATATCAATTGATCCCATCATCCAATCAAATCAAATCAAATTGTTAGAATATGCAATAGAATCTACACATCTAAATGTGCGTTCTCGATGAATTTGAACTTAACATATTTTGTTAACAATAAAAAAAGGAAAATTACTAAACTAATAGCGAGTAAGTTTTTTAAAACGCTATATTCAATGGTAAGCATATTGCTTGTATTACAGATCAATGATCTCATATTCAAACTCCAATAACACATCCCTCCTCCCCTTCCCAGCTTAAACAACAAATACTTGGTAGCACCAAAGTGTGCAAAATTATTTACAATTGATTACATTCATGATGTGGATTTATCATGTACAAAATTATTGGTACATGACAAGTATTTTCAAAAGAGAATACATACAAGAAAACATACCTACCACTACTTAAAAAACATAATAAATATTGCCTTCGATTTTTCCCTTTTGGGGCTGGCTTTTGTCTTTAACTATTTGGTTTCCATCACCTAAATCTTTGTTCTAAACTCATATTTCCTCCACAAAAATTGTAGCCAATTGTTAGTAGAAGCCACAACAGCATCAGCCAGAGCGTCAGCGAAGGGGGGCCATGGAGAAAAGTGGGCAGTGGCTCACCCCACCACCTATTGCCTTCTGTCTCGTGTGCAGGAGTACGCAATAATCAACTTGGAAAAATATTAAACACTTTCACATTAGAAAAGCTGTGAACTTTTCGGGGTTTTCTAATTTATTAGTTGCTTTCTAGAGAGAACTGATTAGTCATCGCAGTGGTCAAAACAAGAGTGCTCCACCAACTTTTAGTCATCTGCTGCTCTTCGTCACACAAAAATCGTTTCCTATAGAATCGCTGGGAGAGCAGAACAGAAGTCCCATCAAAACCCATTTCATTTCAAGGTCTTTTCTCTCACCCTGGCCCTTTTTTATTCTGTTGTTTGTTATTTTTGGTGGAATTCTGATGTTGGTTTTCATTGGAATCTGTTAAAGATGCTAAATTCTTTAAGCCCATGAATGATCTTGTGGTGGGTGATGAGAAAGTTTAGGAAATTATATGTGCATGTCTTTTTGTTTTTGAAGATTGCTCTTCATACTCTGTTTGGTTGCTGAGAATAAAGTGAGAATACCAAGGGACTTGAGCTTCTGTTATGATTTAAGTTCTATGGGTTCTTTTTTCATATGAAAAATCTGACCTTATCAGCTTAGCTGACTTGTTAAATTGACCTGAATTGAGTGGTGAATGTTAATTCTTGTTTGCTTGGTTGCCTGATGGTGAAAGGTTCCATTTTAACTTTTCTTATCTGGTTTTTCTATTCATTTCCCTTTTCTTGCTATGCTTTATCAGCAACCAAACGAATCTTTATGGAAGTTGTCAGTATTTCTGAGTGTTAATTTTCATGATTTTATTAGAAGACATGTTGCTTTTTGTTTTGGTTGAATGATTATCAATTGTATGTCTGCCTGATTATTCCTGAACTTCTGCACAAAATATTAGAGAGAACCTAAAGGTTTGGAATTTTAAAAAAATTATAGGAAAATTTGTTAGATTTGAAAAGAAAATTTCAGAAGCTTCCATGTGTCCGGATTAATAAAAATTCAAAATTGTTTAATGGAATTATAATTTGCAGCCTTGTAGGTGAGCTCAATAGAGAGATGTCTTTGATAGGAAGAGTACACCCTGACTGCGTAAATGTATCCAATCCATACCATGAATGCACTGAAAATTGCTTGAGAAAGATTCAGGAAGGGAAAGGCCGGAAGACTAAAAAGAAATCAGGTTAGTATTCTTGGATCAAATTTTTTTATTTTTAAATAAATGTAATTAAATATGCTTGAACACTTTGAAGATTGACAAATTCATTTTCAGTATAAATTCTGACTAGTTTTTCTTAAAATGCGAGGACCCGTGTTTTCCCTTGTTGGCACACATTTCATGTCATCGGTTGTTGCTCGCATAATTTCTTATTGGATTAACCGTTCTGTGTTTTGCATAAATGATTGGCATGTTGTTTAGTCTCATAACTCTTTTAATTTTGAATACCTTGCAGCTTTTATTCAAATTTTATCTGGGCAGCAGATATGTTTTACTGTCTTGATTGATTAGAAAGTAGTAGGGTCTTACGAGGTGCAGTGAATTATTCATTTAGAGATTGTTTCTTGTGGTGAATTAGTGGCTCGTAGAGTGTTTCTTCTTCTTTGAGGGGTCTTTTCTTGTTATCATTTTCTGAATATAGGTTGGAAATTTTAGAATTTTTTTCTTTTCTTTTCTTTTCAAAGATAATGGAAGCACATTTAAAGGTGGTGAGTTCAAAAAAAAGGCGGTGGACGATAGAAGAGCATCTAATCCTTACCATGACCCTGAATATTACCTGCAACAAACCGGTGGTGCCAAACCTCGTGGGGATATAAAAGAACCAGGTTTTTCCCCACTTTTGTGTGATAACTCTCAATACACTGTGTTAAGTAATTTTGTACATTTTTCCTTTCCATATCTGCAATAATTGAAAAACCACATAGGAGAAGAAGCTGTTCATAGAAACCTATGTTTTCTGTTTGACAACAATTAGATGCTCTTCCCATGCAAGATATTTATTTCACCATCGCTTTATATAACCTTACATGACATTCCCTTCTTACATACGAAAAACCTACAATACTTTAACCCCCCAGTCCTGGGAAATGGAAATGCCATCAATTCATAGCCAGCGTGTAATTCTATAAACAGAATCTAGTTTCATGTAGGAATGCCTCAGGTTCTGCAAGGAAATCTTCTTCTTCCAAATGATGAATTGGAGTTTCTATGAGCTCCTGGGCAAGAGAAGCCCTTCTTGTCCTTGTGCAGGGAATAAACAGATTGTGAATTATTCATTCCTCTTCCACCGGCAATGCAAATAATGCTCATGGATTGTAATCTTGGTTGTTCCCTTTTCTAATGTGCTATTTTAATTGCAGGTTCCATAATTGATGTTCCTATATTGGGCAGAAAGAAGGAGAGATCCCGACCAAAGCCCCCTCAAGAGCTTGACAATGTCCCTGGGCAAGGTGCAGTTTATCATTTAGATGCTCCGTCATCTAAGGAAAAGGTGAATTTAGAGAATGGTAAGCATAAATCTTCTTTCACCCGACATGTTGTGGATTTATTTATGCATTTCCTCTTTCCCCTCCCATGCACATATACTATAGGTGCACTGTGCAGATGTATTTTTTTCGTAATTTAGGGTCAGTTTTGATTGCAGGCTCCATCCTTGATGATCCTATTTTCGGCAGAAGAAAGCAGGGATCCCAACCAAAGACTTCAGAAGAGCTTGAAGATGTCCCAGTTGAAGGTATAGTTTATCCTTCTGATTCTTCATCATCTTCATCTAAAGAAATAGTGAAACTAGGGAATGGTGAGCATGCATCTTCTTCCACTTGACAGATTGTGGATTTATTTATTCAGTTCTCTTCCCCATGCCATTCCCATATACACATGGATGCAGACGTATTCATGCTTCTTTTTCCTAATTTATGGTCAGTTTCAATTGCAGACTCCGTGCTTGATGATCCTATATTCGGCAGACGAAAGCATGGATCCAAACCAAAGCACCCTGAAGAGATTGAAAATGTACCAGATGAAGGTGTGCTTTATCCTTCTGATTTACCCTCGTCTCCTTCTAAGGAAAAGGTGAAATTACAGAATGGTGAGCATAAATCTTATTCTCCACCGATTTCTGAAGTAAAAGATCCTTCTTTCAACAAGGTACAAGTGCAGTCCTCTCTGTTAGTGCCTCCATCTGGAATTATCACAATGGTGCGCTCCCTCTCTCTCTTCTCCCCCTCCACAATACCACCCCCCCTCTTCCCCCAGGAGCTAACGCACAAATTTGTTACAAGTTCTGTCTTTTTTTTGGTATCAATTTGACTCCTCTGTCATGTTATCTCTCTCTGACAGCCTGAATATCCCAAAGATCCTCCAGAGAATGGTGCTACTGATGTCACTAGTGAATTACCTGGTCATGGGGAAGACAATGAAAATCTTCATCATTCTGTTCCAAATCTTACTGTCAACAATGCAGGAGAGGGCGCTGCTGGTTCAGCTTCAGATTCTAGAAGCTTTAGTTTCTCAGGTACTCTCCAACCTTTTGAAGAGAGTGATGAAGAAGAGACGCGATCTGTTAACTCTGATTCCAGTGTGTCTGTGGGAAAATACCGTGTGAAAGGAAGTTTCTCTTCAATTCTCCAGTCCATTTTTGACAAATATGGTGATATAGCAGCAAGCTGTCAATTGGAATCAATTGTCATCCGCTCTTACTATCTCGAGTGCGTATGTTATGTGGTTCAAGAGTTGAAGCGAACTTCAATCAAGCAGCTGACAAAGCCTAAAGTCAAAGAAATGTTATCTATGCTTAAGGATGTAGAATCCTCAGGAATGGATGTTGGTTGGCTTCGTCTTATCATCAACGAATGTGCAGAAACCACTGAACTTGTCAGTCGGCATCGAGCATTCGAAGCAGCAAAGGCCAACTGCGATCGCGATATAGAATCAACAAAGAAAGAACTAGAATCACATATGGAGGTTTTGGCTCAGAAAGAAAAGGAGGTTGCTGAAACCAGAGCCCGCCTGAGGGAGCTTGAGCTTAAATCTTCTGCTCTGAGTGAGACTGTTAGTAACATGAAGTCCAAGGTTGATAATCTTCAAACCAAGCCATTGTTGGACAAAGTGTTGTGAGGCGACTTCAAAAGCTGTAAAGCCTGTAATCACTAGGTCACAGATAAAATGTTCTGAAGGGTGAAACTAATTTAGCTCATCCTTTTATACTTGTAGCTATATAGTAAACATAGGATATCGTGTCGATTTCGGAGTGGTTTGATGAAATCATGTCACTTTTCTTTTGAGTTTTTCTGCTTCCATTTATATGAACACAATGGAGGTAGAAGAAAGTAATTGACAAATAAATGCTTCTATATCCCTTTTTCTGAAACAAGTGAGCTCCTCATCTCATATAAATTAGATCCGGCTCGTTTTCTATAAACTGCCAAGGTTCTTGTTTGTGCCATATTTGTCAGCTTCATACCATACTCTTAGAGCATCCACAATGGAGGGGTGTAAATTCGGGGGTGTAAAGCCACTTTTACATCCCCTTTACACCTCCGGGGGGTGTAAATATGTTTTTTGCTCCAGTGGGGGAGTGTAAATTCGGGGGTGTAGCCGTGGGTCCCAGCCTTTTATGTTGACTTTTCTTTATTTTTCTTCTCTTTTCTCGGGTGGGTCCCGCCTGCAAGGGATGTAAAAATAGATGTAAATATATATTTTATTTTACATCCCCATGGTGGTGATGTATATTTATATCCATTTACATCTCCCCATTGGAGACGATTCCGGTGACTCGGGGTGTATATTTAACATACACCCCCATATACACCCCCCATTGTGGATGCTCTTAGCATCTTAGCATCTACATCATTTGTGATTTTAGGCCGTTGGATGGAGATTTGATGAAATTTTGGAAGGGAAATCTAACCTTGTAGCAAATTTTTCCCCTGTGATTTTAGAGAAAAACATATATATCTTGGGAATAGCACTATTTTACTATCCCCAAATAATTATGTTATGCCACGTGTGATAAAAATTCTACATGACGAAACGTGATTGGATGGGGATAACTACAATACTATCTCCATGACATGCAAATTCTTCTTGTCATTTTAAGTTGTTGGATGGAGGTCTTGGATTGAGATTTATGAAATTTGTATGGGAGTTGGGCAAATTATCACAAGTTTTGTTGGGCCAGCCATTTAAGTTGATCATTTTTTTTTGTTCGAATGCTTTGGGACAAACTTTTTCATTTCCATATCAATGAGGAGGCATATTAAAAATAAAATAAAATAATCACAGCTCACCTCACCGCCCAAAAAAATATAGAATTTTCATTTTTATTCGAATTCGCGCGTCAGTCCTAAGCCCTTTTGTTCCTCATCCCTCTTTCCCTAAGCAAAACCTAAACCCAGACACCGACCACAGCAATCGAAGCAATTCATCTCGCAGGTTCGTCCTTTATCTTCGCAATTAGTTTCGTATTTGATTTGGCTATGCTTCTTTAGGTTTTGGTTTGAGTTAGGTTTCGTTTAGTTCCCGATAAGCCCATGAATGATTTCAGGAATTGAAATTATAGAGCCAGACTTCATTATAGCTTTCTAATTAAAGATTTGGAATTTAGAAGAGTTGGATTTTTGAAATTAATGTCATTGGTTTGGTTATGGAATCTGAAATTAGTTTTATTTGATGTAGTTTATTTCAGGTAGCTTCAGAGATATAGAATATCTGAATTGCGAAAAACATGTCTGACGAAGGAAGAGTACACCCAGATTGCAGAAATGCATCCAATCCCTACCATGAATGCAGCGAATATTGCTTCACAGTTATTGCCGAAGCCAAGTCTCGAATGGATCAAAACCAGTCAGGTAATTCTTTTTTCTTTAACCAGTCCATTTTTGTGTCTGTTTAGTATGTCATAATTGGCTTTTTCATGTCGTCTCATGTCGTGGCCTAGAGAAAGATGAAATCTTTCTTGCACTTAAGTTTTGACTCCATAACTGTAAGCTGTATGCTCTTGGACAGAAGCTGCTTTCATCTGAAACTGAACCTCAGGGGACTGATTTTATGGGATAATACATTATTTTCAAATGTTATTACGGAGTAGGGACTCAAGTTATCAATTTTTCCTCCTTTATTATATAGAAATCTGCATTGTTTATTTTTAAATATTCAAATATGTGTGGTAGAACTTTAGCTATACTTGAAAATTCTAGGTCCTCCATTTTTTTGCCCCCTTATGAAACTATTGTTCCACCCCAATTTGTGTCTGTATACCTAAATCATTCTGTTCTACACTACATCAGAAGATGTGCAAGCCAATGGTGGTAGTGGAAAATCCAACTCAGAGGCCGCTGAGCAAGAGGAATATGTACATAATGAAAAACCAGATTCTGAAGAACATGCTGATGATGGTGATGACCATCCTGAGGAGAATATGGAAGGAGACTTTACAAAGTTCACGGGGAGGAAGAAAAAATTGTGGGAATTGAGGATGAAGATGGTAAGTCCTTGTCATTATGTTAATTGGATTTTAAAATATAAAACTGTTCCATCATACTTCTTTATTGATTCCACTTTGAACTTTTATTTAGAATAAGGCAAGAAAAGACAATCAAACGGATATTGCAGCTGAAAAGAAAAGACTGGAACCTCCACAAGAGTCCAGGGGCATTTCTAAACAAAAATGGCTTGAAGAGAGGAAGAAAAGAATTGGCAAACTTCTAGATGCAAATAATTTGGATATGAAAAGCGCGTACATGCTAGATACACAAGAGATGGCAGAGGCAAAATACAAGAAATGGGAAAAGGATCCAGCCCCAGCTGGCTGGGATGGTATGCTTTAGAATCTCTGCTCATTAATTCATTATTATTTCTTTGTTTGGTTAAGGTTTTAGCTGGTCTCCTTAGTTTGTTGTTAATGATGATACATATGCTCTTTATGTTCCTTTGTTTCGGAACATACTTGTAGCTGTATTTGATATGGACTCATGATTTTTATCAAACTCAATTTGCTTTTGAAGTTATAGAATATGAGAGAAAGTTTGTTGATGTAAACTGGAATGGCTTAGTTACTCTTAATGAGTAGATACGAATATTTAGGACATATGAGGAAAGGAAATGGCATTGTGTAACCTAGGGTTAAGCAAGAGAAAGAGGCGTATTAATGTTATTACATTATTTATTTGATACTATGCCATACATATGTTTAAGCTAAATTGGGTTTTGTATACATCGTATATTCAACCATGTGCTTTTATGCATGCTTGCACACATATCAGAATTCTCTATTGCCAATTAGGATGCAGAAAGATTAAGTGTTGAAGTGAACAATATTCTTGATATCCACTTTGTTCTTCTAGTCTTGTATAAATTTATAAAATCAAAATGTGATCTGAGATGTTGTTCAAACAGTTTTCAATCAGAAAACTCTGTATGATGCATACAAAAAGCGAACAAAGAACATTGAGATTGACTTGGAAGAATACAATAGGATGAAAGAGGCTGATCCAGAGTTCTATCGTGAAGCTTCCAGCCTCCAATATGGGAAGGTATTTTGCTGTTGAGGGAAATCTGATTCCTGGTAATCTGGTTAAAAATGGGGTCTAAGCCCTGAATGTTCTATTTAATTGTGCAGGCTCCAAAGATATCAGAGGACAAGATTGATAAGATGGTCAAGGAACTCAAGGATCGGGAGGAGAAGAAGAAGTCATTTAGCAGGAGGAGGAGGTTCCACGATGAGAAAGATATTGACTCCATCAATGACCGAAATGAGCATTTCAATAAGAAGATTGAGCGAGCCTTTGGTAGATACACACTGGAGATCAAAAACAATCTTGAGCGAGGAACTGCATTGCCTGACTAAGGTAAACTCAACAAAATGCACTGTCTTCCGATGTTTGTCTAATTGTGTAATCAGCTGACTTATGGGAACTTATGATTCCATCGACTTACTTCTGGCAGATTGGTGCTGGGGAATTGTAATAATACATGTTAGAATTTGGGGTGAAAGTGTTTTGTTATACTCAGATTTTGTTGTAGTTTTAAGTGGTGTAGCAAGTTTTCGTGTAGAAACTGATAATAGTTGTCCGGTTAACACCGGAATTTATACATTTTTTCATATGAGCATATATGCATCATTTTAAAAAGGCTTAATATCACAAAACGTTCCTAAAGTTCACGAAACTATTAGGGCCCGTTCGGTAACGTTTTAAAAGGTTGTTTTCATTTTCAGAGAACAAAAATAAGGCAAAAACACGTTAGGTGGCCCAAAAACAGAAACACTGAGAATGTTTTCATAAAATGAAAACAAGATCATGTGTACTTGTAGAAAACAGAAAAAAGTTGTTTTCATTCTCGTGGAAAACGTTTTCATAAAGATAACTCACATATTATTATTTCAAATTGTACTACCAGACACGTTTTCATTGTTTTTGTTTTCTGGAGATGTTTTCTAATTAATCTACCAGACGCATTTTCATTTCCTGAAAATGCAAATTCGTTTTTTTGTTTTCATTCTCTGAAAATATTCTTAGAAAACACTCTCCGAAAATGTTACCAGACGGGCCCTTAGATTGCATCCTTAATATTTTTTTGTGTCATTCGTGGTCCTCAAGGTTAGTATGTGTGATCACAAATGGTCCATGCCATTAGGTTCCGTCAAAAATTCCGTTAATTTGCTGATGTGTGTATATATGTGTGTATATATATCACAAAACATCCCTGAGGTTCACGCACCTATTACAAATGGTCCTTGCGAAATTTTTTAAATTAACGGAGTTTTTTACGGAATCTAACGGCAGGGACCGTTTGTGATCACACATACTAACTTTGAGGACCACGAATGACACAAAAAAACATTGAGGATGCACTTTGATAGTTTCATAAACCTTAGGAATGTTTTGTGATATTAAGCCTTTAAAAAATATACGAAAATGCCTGATAATATGTGGAATTGCTATTATCAGTTTTGTGTTCACTCTGAAGTGCCTAATGGCAGATGCGGTCCTCACGCAGATCGGTCCCATGTGATAGGAAAGTGGAAACTTCTCTAAATTTGGGTGATTTCAGTCCTGCAAGAACAGGCTAAAAATCGTGAACAATGGCATGTTGCCCAAAGAGGAATGGAATGGGCCTACAAAACTCTCAAACGTTCTAGCTATAAGTCCCTCATGATTGCAGTGCTTTTATTGATGGCATCTTCTTTTGAATGTTTGAGAGGGTGTTAGAAGACCCCATCCAGATTACCCCCTTTCACCAAGACTTTTTTTTTAAAATGTCCCAAAACGCGAAGTTCCTCTCTTGTGAGGTCCAAGCACCATTAAAATGGTGGAGCAGTGCATGGCATATCATTGCAAATAAAAAACATAGTTGTTGGAGCTCAATTTC